AACAATGCTATTTCATCTGGAGTAGAAGTGCAAAAGTACCCAGAGGCAGAATAAACACTGATTTCAGGATGCTGGCTACTTCCAGGGGTGCAGGCAAGAATCAAGAAGCTGAGCTAAATTTATTTTCTGAACCAACTGAACTCTGGCTCCCCTATTACAAGATATTAATAGTTTAATCTACATAATATTATATGATAACTGCCAGTATTTTACGTTCCTTTCTATATATCTGATATTTTCCAAATCATATCATCTAAATACTATGCTGCAGCTATCAAATCATTTCTTAAAGATGACTCATTCTACACTCTCTGGCCAGGAAGCCAGTTAGCAAGTGTAACAGCATAAAGTGAGAAAGTACAACTTCCTCCCTGTCTACACCTTCATATCACACCCCTTCAGTCTCCCAGCAGTACCTCAGATCAACTCAAGGTTCCACAAGCTAATACCAGAAGAAATTTTCCAACCACCACAGAAAGTTTGTACTTCACTAGTGATAGGCTCAGAAACTGTCCAAATGCAAATGGGCTGGGAAAGTAAAGTATTTACAGCTTTTTTTTTTTTTAATGTTTTTTATTGTTGAAAAGTCTCACTATGCAGCTCCAACTTATAGTGATCTTCCTGTTTTCAGTTTCTGCAGAGTTGGGATTACAGGCATGTGCCACCACACCCAGACTCTGTGGCCAGCTCAGCTGGCAGGGCATGTAGTGCACAGGATCAAACTGCATCCCTGTGCTTGCCTAAGCTTGCCTAAGCAGGCACGTTAGTCCACTGAGCTATCTCGCCAGCCCCTGTACAGTTCTTGATTTGCAAATTTTCAAGAGAAAGAAATTACAAAATAAAGTTTTCTCTTATTTATAAAATCTAAAAATGAAACTCAAATAATAAAAAGTCAATAATTCTGGGTCATTTTTATTTGGTAAATATTTTGTTATTACTTCACTTTAACTTGTTTTTCAAACCCTAAACCAATTTTTTTCCTAAAAAATAGAGAGCATCTTCAAATACTGAGATAGGCTGAAATCCTATAAAGGTCCTTTGCCTGTGGAATGTAATATGGTTGTAAAAGACCTTTGAAAAATACTTAAATCATAATCCTTCAATACCCAATTTCTCTGCAAGAAAATGATCAACAGAATTGTGTGCCTTCAAAATCCATATGCTGAAGCCTTAATCTCAGTGTGACTATATTTGGAAACATTGTCTTCATTAAGGTTAAAAGAGTTCCTATTCTAACAATTTTAGTGGTTTTATGTTCCTGGGGCCCTACTGTAATAGTGGTGGCCTTCTACAGACACACAGCAGAGACACACATATGCTTTATGAACCCAAGCTGCAGCAAAAAGGCATAATGAGCAGGTATCAGAATGTAGGCATAAGGCCGGCCAGACAGCTCTGAGGATTAAAGCACCTGGACAGCAATTGACACTGGGCGTGATGACACACGCCTGTAACCCCAGCACTTGGGAGGCTGAAAAACATGAAGGATCACTAGGAGTCTTATATGCATAATGAGACTCTATAGACCCTGAGCTAAATACATATAATGAATGAATGTAGGCATCAGAAAGTTAGGACAGCCTCCATCAGAATGCAACCATTCTGGCACCCTTCAGACTGCAGCTGTCAAAAAAAAATTTTTTTTTTCTATTATTTTAGCACCCAGCTATATAGTATTTGTCATAGTAAACAGATATGCAAAGCCACTATCTTCAATATCCAAATTAAAATGGTTTATGTAAAGAACCCAAATGATAAAGGGAGACATAATGACTCAGTGACTATTTTTTTTTCAAAGTGAATATTCAGCACACCTTCAGATGTTCTAAAACTGCCAAGAAAGGCAGTGTCATGAAGACAAATGTACTTAATCTATTACTAAGCCAATATCATTACCAAAAAGAATCAATTTTAACTCAATCAATAATATATCATATATATAGAGAGAGAGACAGAGAGAGAGAGAGAAAGATCACTTGTCACAGAATATTCTAACAGAAGTAAGCCTCGTTCTGAGCTGGCCCTTAAGAGTCAGAAGTTAAAGTACCCTGAGGTTCACTGTCCCCATGCCCTAATCAAGTGCAGCCCTCCACAGAAAGAGCAGCAAAAATTCATGTGCACCCAAGCAAGAACATACAGCAGATTCAAGATCAGCGGTGGTAAACCTATAGCACACATTACTGTTTTTCTTATAAGACAAAAGATATAATGTATGAGTTGTTTTTTTCTAATCTAAAACCTCAGTATTCAGGTTTGACTGCAGTGTTGGCACTTCGTAATAAATAAATGGGTTTGGGGCTGCAGTCTGGCACCTGATCTCTAAAAGGTTTGCCATCACTAACCTCGAATGTCAATTATGTCAGATAAATCATAAGAAGGGAGACTGGCAGGGTACAAGGCATACAAATCATGGGGAAGATAGAAGAAAGGATCTATGACTAGGGAGAGGCCCCACAACAGGAAAACACTTCTAGTGTTATAATCATTTAAACAGTTTCATAAGTTGTTTAATAAATATGTAAAAATCACTGTCTGCAAAGAAATATTTGATTAAAGAATAAGTCAGATTTTTTAATCCATATTATCTATTTAAAAAGTTACAACTATAAAATCATGCAATTTTTATTGCAATACAAAGTAGGATCACAAGGAAAAATAGTGATACCTGAAAATATTTTATTTTACTTGCTTACTTTATGACCTGAGGATCAAAAGAGTAGTCTCTACAGTCTACCATAATCAAAGAAAAAAGGATTAAATCGAGCCTGAAAGTCACATGAAAAACAGTGCTATGATTATCTACTCCGAATTTACTAACAATTTTAATGTTATTCCAATTCTAATTTTACCAAAAACTGAAACATAATAATTTTTCTTATGATACAAATTTCATATTCACAACCGAACGACTTAAAAATATACTATTCTCTCATATTAACTACTCTGAATTAAAGGCATGCTGCCTAAGTGTTGAGAAACAGCAGATGTAAATACGTTACTCTGACCTTGGTCTTGTTCTTCAAAAGCAGGAAATGAAAATCCTGCACAAATGCAGTAACAATCTGGCTACAAGAACAAAGTAGAAGTGGGAGAGAGCTTAAGAAATCTGTACAGCCTTGTGAAAGTAACTCATGGCAGGGGGTACTGGACAAAACCAAGGGCTTCTGCACTGAGCCACATCCCCAGCCTTAAACAGGGTCTCCCTAAGATGTTCAATTGCCCAGGCTGAGCTCAAACTTGTGATCCTCCGGCCTCAGCCTCGCAGAGTAACTTATCTGTTAACTCCTGCCTCCTCCAACACACATAATTTACTTTTCTTCTTTTTACAATTTGCTACTCTTGGTCCAATTCATTATGTGTTAGACTTTCATTTCTTTAGGTCATCTCCTTATGGGGGTCAAGTAAAGCTTGCGCTTGTGTGTGATAATAAGTGTGCACACCTTCTTCCTTTTAATCTACCTTAAATTAACAGCACACACTGCCTCATAGTATATATACCCTTCTCATGTATGCAAAGGCAGTAATCTGGGCTGGCCTTGAACTCACCGTGTAGCTCACATTGGCCTTAAACTCACATTCTTCCTGCCTCAGCCTTCTCAGTGAAGCATAAGACTTTAAAGCCAAAAGGGCTTACAAAACTAATAACCTATAATCCTATGACATAATCCAATTCTTTGATATGCAGTCAACTTTTTACAGCAGTTAAAGAGTGCAGATTCTAGAGTCAAAAGTAGTAGAATGAAATACCAGTCAGCCCAACACTATGTCATAGGTAGAAGAGTGTAAACATTATCTACTCTATAGGGCTTGTGGAGGAGTTAAATAGCCCACCAAATACTATAAAACAAGCTAGTGCCAAAGATTTAATAAATGGCACTATTATTTCTGATTCCTAGTAAATAACAGACTTTGCGATTAACAATAGAGATATCAACATAAAGAGAAATTTTTGAGGGTCTCTGTCTTCCAAGAGTTTGTGTTCTAATAAGAGACACTTAAAACTTTAACAGGGCCCTGTTAATGGTCATGTTTTCTCTTGTGAATAGTAAAATGCTACCTATTCCTTGAAAACCCAACTTGCACTTCAGTCACCAAAGGTACCTAAGGGTAACACGATCAGTAGCCAGAGATGCAGGTTTAGAAGGATGTGGAGGAAATGTCAGCTAGCACCCTGTAAAGGAAATGCATAAAGTACTGTGGTAACCCTTCAACTTGAACAGCCGCATACCTCCTAACAGACAAATGTTAGCTTAATGGAAAAACTATACCCCACTCCAGCCCTGAAAAAAAAACCACAGCTATTTTGGGTTTAACTTTGAGAAATGAATGAAGGTGCTCTCTTTCTACGTAAATCATCATCTCTCACACCATTCAGTTAGGTCAGCACTCCAGGGACCTACCCTTAGCTGGCAGGCCTCTCCCGGGGGTTCTAGAGGTCTGCTTTCCATTGTGTGCTACTACCTCTTTCTATCGCTCTTCTACACTAGACTCCAGGAACCTGTGCTCCTCTTTACATCCTTCCCTCTCAGCACAGTGACTTGCACCACTTCACTAGTGTACTCTGCAGCAGGAAGCACTGCCAAGCACTGTGCCCGACTGCAGAGACACAAGGAAAGAAAGCATGTTTCCTACTGCAGCAGAACGACGACCCAGTCAGGAGGCAGAGTCAGCAACTTAAGTATGCCAACTGCAGTCAAGAAACAACAGAACCAGGTGTGGAGGGCAGGCAAGAAAGGATAGCCACACGTAATCAATGAAAGAGATATTCCTGCAGTGAAAGGGAAGAAAGCTCAGAAGTCCCAGGCACTTACAAGGTGGCCACACTCTGGGAAAGTAAGGCACAAATTAAAAATGACATTAGGAAGAAAATCTAAACAAAAAAGAAAAAGTTGGTTGAATGGGTAAATACATGTATGTCAAATTTTGAAAGAAATACTGGAAAAAAAAATAGTTCAGTGGGTCCAAGTTGAGTACTTACATCATATGTTAAGATTTCTTACCTCCCTGAAATTCCTTTTGTTGTCCCTGGAATGTCTGGAACAGGCCGATGTCTCAGGAGAAAAGATCGAGATGGCCTTGAAACCAGCTTGCTACGACTTCTCATAGGTGACAGGACTGGTGATGACGGAATATATAAATCATTTACAACCATCTCTCCTTGAAACTGAAACAATGGCGATGGTAGTGATCTCTCTGACAGGCCATTAGCTTCACTTCTAGACTGTGCTTCTGAAGCTGAACAATCCAGGGAAAAAAGACGTTCTGGGTCTGCAGAAGGAAGTATGCTGGAGTTTTCTGATACCAAATCAACTGTTTCTGTTGGTTGGTCTTTAATTGTACAATCTATAGTCTCATTTTCAACCAAAGACTCTGTCTTCCCGGATAATGAATCATGAGAATCCAAACTCACATGTAGTTCTTCTGAAATGGGAAGGTCATGTTCACAAAGAGGTAACTTATCTGCTTGAAAAGATTGGCTCTTTTCCACATGAAAGTCATTCTGAACTAGATCTGTTTCCAACTGTGCTGAACTAGGCATCTGAACACTTCCAGAAAGTTCTACAGAGGTGTCCCTATCAGAAGATGGTGCATGGTGATCCTTTGAAATGTTTTCATTCCTTGTCTTATGAACATTTGCATATATCGGGATTTCTTGCATGCTTGACAAAATGGTCTGTAATTTTTTTAGTATCCTCCTACGGTGTCCTGTAGGCAATATTCCAATTTCATGTAGCACACTATCATTTATCCTGCCACAGTCCTTCACAGTATAAAAACCAAACTTCTGAAAATGTAAGAGGTACTGCTCCAAATTAATGCTCAATAAGAAATCTTTGATATCAATATTTACTTCACTGACTGATGACATAATGGTGGCTTCATTACTAAGCTAAGTTAGAAAAAGCAGCACAAAGAGACTCATACACAAGAAGATAAGACTCCGCTAATGGTTTTTCCTCCACCACTCAAAATGTTATCTTCCCAAAATGTTATTTTTTTCCACAAAGAGTACTTCACATGCTTAAACCTAGAAAAAAATAAAAATTACATTAAAATTAGAAAAAATATATATATATATGGAAGTATGTGTGCCAAGGCACTGAACCCAGAATCTTGAAATGCTAAGCATGCCCTTTCTCATTAAGCTATGCCTCCAGCACTGGACAGTTTAATTACTAAAAGCTTATTTTATACAAACTTTCCCTGAAATAAAAAACACACAACAGTAATCAGGACAACAATTTTCACTCACTGAGTGTGGAACAGCCTGTTGCTTTGCACACCCCTGGAAGTCAATTTCTAGAGATGAACTAAAGGTGCACAACAGAAACACTAGGGCAGTATCAAAGTATAACTTTCAAAATGTTAAAAAACACTTTCTCACAGATACAGAATGAACATGTATCACTTTATTCATTTCATTAACTGATGGTGGAACCAGTGAAATAGTAAGGCCAACTCCCGGAGCACCTGTGTCTGTCACAATGACTTTGTTTTAAAAAGCATTGGAGTAAGTGAGCTCCGTAAGATTCTTCAACTGGTTAATGTTCTTTAGGACAACAAAAGGATACCTCTGGGGATATCTTTTCTACAGGACCAAAATGTACAAACTAACAGATAACTTCCCTGTTATGGTGTGAGCTTTCATCAAACAGTACTCAGATCAGGCACTGGAAATGGAATTAAAATTAAATATATGTAGGTCTGGCCTGTAAACAATAGCCTCAAAAAACAATGCCATTTTTGAGACTCTTAAAGAACAGGCTAATATGTTTCCTTTCTTTTTTTTTTGCAGAACCTGAGATTGAACTCAGGCCTTTGTGCTTGCCAGGCAAGCCCTTATTCTACTGTGCTGTCTCCCCTGCCCCCTGAATGTATTTCCTACTCAGTAATTTTCATTTCAACAATGTAAGTAGTCATATATTTAAACAATATTAATAAGAGTAGTTGAAGAGTTAATTCTTAAATCCATTAGATAACAAGAAGCTAGTAAGAAAGTAAAAGGTAAAAGTTCAAAGGTCCCATTTTCATCCAATTGTACACAGCAGTTTCACTATCAGGCATGGGATTTCTGACTTGCCGTGAACAGAAATGAAAGTCTAGCCAGGAAGTACAAGCTTACACAGGCAGGGCTTTATGGGAGAAGAAACAGAAAGCCAGAAAGAACTTCATCTTGAGAAGAGGAAAAGCTGCAGAGAAACAAGGCCGCGAGGAAAATAAATAAATAAATAATCACGCTGGTCAGTTAACCCAGAAAGGGGCAAACTTTTTATTCCTATAGGAGCAGGTTAAGGTCTGGGACTTTTTCCTCTGTTCTCAGCAGTTGCAAAATGTGTCTCCTTTCTTGTACAAACATCCTGGTCTTGAGGAATGAGTAGCCAAGTTACCCCGGGAACTGCTCCACACGCCCCTTCTACTGACAGGCACCCCGGCTATGCATAAGCATTCCGGCCTTGTGACAAGGCCGGGACACGGGGGATCAAGAAAATCCACACACGCTTCTGCTTGGCACAGTGAGGTACGGATGGGGAAGAAGGGAAGAATACACATCACTTTCAATGGGCCCTGAGTTGAGGCCCAAGTGGTCTATCTACATTTTGTCCCCCACGAGTCCCCCTCCTTGTCCCAGACTCAGGAAAATTCCTCAGCATAACCAGATTTTAAAACAAGAGTCCATTTATCTCAGGAATGGTTATATGGGTGTGTTCAGTTTAGGAAAATGCATATACGTAAATTTCTATATGTCATCCTTCAGTAAAAAGACTAAGTTGAATAAATCAGGAACACAAACTTAAATATCAATGGTTCCTCTGACATGAGAAACCCCACATATGAATAATTTAAAGAGCAAAATAAAAGACAGATAACAGCGAACAGGGACATGGACCTTTTGCAAAGAAAAGGGCACGAGGAGATAAAGGAAAGGGAAAGGGAGGGGAGAGAAAAAGAAAGTAAAACCACTCAGCTGTGTCATGCGCAAGTGCCAACGCCTGTGCTGAACAGAATCATGTACTACAAAGAAGGGCTAACGAGAATAATAAAAATTTTAGAGAAAAAGTACAAAATATGCACAAAACAAGTAATGAAATAAGGCAAACAAGGTAAATTTATCTGAGAAAGTTCTGACGAACTGTTTCCGGAAAACACTGAGAAAACGCTCCACAAGGCACTACAGACTGCAAGTGTTTCATGCATGCCCTTTTTCGAAGCTATTGCCTTAATCATTTAAAAATATCAGAAAACACTGAGAAACTGGTGTAGTTTCAGAAGGAAAACACATATCTTCTCCAGGTCTTACTCAAGGAACAGTGAAAATACAAAGAAAAAGAAGGGCTGAAAATGCCTGTCAGTAAGGCATTTCTGTAGCCCACCAAAATACCAAAAAGGTAAAAAAGATAAAATAAGATGTTAACCTCAACATCAAACTCAAACCACCTTATTTTGTCTCATCTTTTTTTTTGGGGGGGTGGGCACATTATAAAATGGATGTCACTATTATAAATAGTAAAATGACTGGATATGTAACTTATCCCCCTTAAAAATGATGAACAGGATCAACTGATCAGTAATTTAAAAGGAGTTCTGTAGAACTTTCCTGGGCCACAGAGACAGCTCAGTGGTCTACGCGCCTGCCTGGATAAGCACAAGGACCCAGGTTCAATTCTCAGGCTTGATCCCCAGTCCCACATGCCATGCCGGCTCTGCCCCAGGCAAGGTGGCTCAGGCCTGTTATCCCAGCTCTGGGGAGGCTGAGATAGAAGGATCACTACGAGTCATAGGGCTGTGTAGCGAGACACTATACCAAATACACAAAACTTAAAAAAAGAAAAAAAAAAAGAAGTACTTTCCTGTAGAGTAGAATAAACTGTAATTTATAAGAATTAAGTTATAACTGCTTATAAGTTTCCACAAAAACTTCATTGGACCATAAAAATTTTCCACAAAATATACCCATAAAGAGACCTCCCAGGGGCCATAACCCACTGAGTCCTAAGACCTGAGGAAGTTCCCAAGCCCACCCATGTCACATCAAGGACATTCAAGGCACCAGACAAGCCACTGCTTTTATTGCTTGCCATGGAGGAGACCATGCCCAACTTCCTCCTACTTGCATGCTGAACTCCTAATGTGATACAACTGGATCTAGACTCAGGGTTGCAGGAAGTAATTAAGGTTAAATGAGGTTGTAAGGCTGGAACCCTGACACACAGGATGAGCTCCCTCTAAGAGAGAGCTTCCTCTTTCCCTCCCTACCATACTGCAGTGAAAACTACAAGAAGGCAGCCTGGATGGAAGAGGGCCCTCACCAAGAACCCACTCAGCTAGCCCGTGAGAAATACAACCGTGAGAAATACATTTCTGTTGTTTAACCTACACAGTCTGAAGCTGTTATGATGGCTGTCTTGTTGCCCTTCCTCTTTACTAGAACAGAACTCGTGCAATTTGGAGGAGAGGTCTACTTTGGATCACATTTCAGTCCAAGGTGAGCCAGCTCCCAAGAAGAAACAGCATGGAAGAGGGGAATTGGAGAAGTGAGCCAGGAGGCAGACTGGGAAGGCAAGAACCAGAGAGGGAAATACACAATGGGAGGTCATCCTCCAGTGACTCACCTCTTTCAACCTACCCCAACCTCCTAACTGCACATTTAGTTATAATGTCATCTTGCTCGAATCCTCCTCCAAAGGACATGCCTATGAGCACAACTGTCTTGGGGGAAATCTAGATATACAGACATAAATCAAAACAGTAAGTGGCCTGACTAATACATTACCTCATCCTCACTAGCTTTGCTGTGGTTCACACCCTCACCGTATCTCTTCCCAAGACACCTGCTACAGTCTCAGTCAACTACTAAGCACCCAAACTTGGCACGTCAGTGCACATCCTCCAAAGGATAAAGTCTATGCTCTTTACAGACCCATGTGACAGTCTGGTCCCTTCTATGAACAATAAGTAAGTATGTGTGAGATCCCAAGGACCATACATACTTCCTGCAAGATAGGAGTTTCTAGGATTTTCTTGAAAAAAGGGGAAAAGGGGCTCCTAGTGCTAACTTATATTTGTGTATTTGTTTTAATACAAAGTCCTTTCCTTTCTTTGGAGTTCATACATATACCTGTACTTGCTCTGTGATTGAATCAGAAATAACTATACTAAGAATTTTACACAAAACCATCTCTCTACAACCATTTAATAATCTAAATGTGGCCAATGTCCTGTTGTTTTACATAGCAGCAAGTCTCCTCTTGCACAGGCCTTAGAAGGTTCTCAGCATTTTTATGCCAAATCTGTCCTCCAGTCATCTGATTTAACTGTCTGGCCTCCAATATCTACTTTTTTCCTTAGAACCCGTGAGCAGGGCACCATGGTGCCTACCTGTAATTCCAGCTACTTGGGAGGCTGAGGCTGAGAATGAAGAATCACAAGTTCAAGGGCAACCTTTGCAACTTAGCCAAAACCTGTCTCAAAAGAGAGAGAGAGAGAGAGAGAGAGAGAGAGAGAGAGAGAGAGGACACGCAAGCAAGCGAGCGGTAGATATTATCCTAGCAGGCATGAAGCCTTGAGTTCAATTTCAGTACAGCAAAAAGAAAAAGAGAAGGCGAAGGGGGTGGAACACATGGGGAGAAACAGAAATCTATGATGCCAAACTCCTTAATATAAACTTGCATCCTTCCAACCTCTGACCTCCAAGTGTCTCACCGGCACATACACCGTGTTCTAAGTAAGTGGCCCCCAGACGATGATGTGTGGATGTACAAAGTAACTTGTGGGCAAGAGCCCAAGAATATGTCACTGGAATACCCTCCAAAGATGATCATGGTAGGCAACAAAATGCAGAACTTCTCATTCCAAGTTCTTTACACTCCAGAGTATTCTTTATTCCCACCTATCTAAGCCTAATCTCACCCTTTTTCTCACTTGAATGGAGAGGCTTTCCTACCACACTTCTCGTTAAGTATGGATCTGAACTAGGATTAAATCCCATCTCTTCCACTCCCTAGCAATGTGAACATAGGCATATGTACA